TTTGGCTGAAACGAACGAAGTAATTTTCCCACTAAATGCGCTTTTATGTACCCATTTCTGCGAGCTAAATAATACTAATTTTCAAGTGCTCATTTTAAGTGCTGATTTATCAATCGTCAGATAACTTATAACTGAAGAATAAATTTAGCACATTGACAGTTTCAATATGGGAAATATGTCAAAAAAAATCACAAGGTTATTTTACTGGTAAAAGATATCTGAGGATTGAAAAATCAGCCCTTAAATGACTAAATTCTTAAAAAAAAGGAAACGAAAAACAAATGCTTTCTAAAAAAACAAAAAAAAGTGTTCATCAGTTCTACAAAACAAATCAAACTCATTTTGAACTGAAAAAAAAGAAGCGAAAAACAAATTGTCCACTTATGAAAAGATAAAAAAAAATATTTTTAAAAAACGAACGAAAAAAAAGTAGTTCATGCGGCGACGGTGTTTTGTTTATAGTTCCAAAATACTGAACTGTCCTATGCATGACATTGACAGTGGGGCGCCACCGTCAATACCGGATCGCTGGTTCCGATTTTTGCCATGTTGGAAACCATATAGTTGAACGATGGTAGCGCCCCCCTGTCATTGAGTTTGGTGGGACAGTTCAGCGTGGGTCATCTATAACTTATAACTGAAGAATAAGTTTGGCACATTGACAGTTTCAATATGGGAAATATGTCAAAAAAATCACAAGGTTATTCTACAGGTAAAAGATATCTGAGGATTGAAAAATCAGCCCATAAATAACTAAATTCTTAAAAAAAAAGGAAACGAAAAACAAATGCTTTCTAAAAAAAAACAAAAAAAGTGTTCATCAGTTCTACAAAACAAATCAAACTCATTTTGAACTTAAAAAAAGAAGCGAAAAACAAATTATCCACTTTTGAAAAGAAAAAAAAGTTCTCTTTTTAAAAAACGAACGAATAAAAAAAGTATTTCATGCGGCGACGGTGTTTTGTTTACCTGCGGGCTGTCGGGCGCGGGCGGCAGGTGTCCGTCGGGCATGCACGCCACCATGGCCTGGTAGGCCGCGTCGGGCAGCGGGAAGCGCCGCGGCGAGTACGGCCGAACCGTCTGCAACACCCGGTATAGCCGGTCACGGACTGCGCACGTTTGGGACAAGGGATTTTTAGGCGACGAATAATGGACCTTATAGTTTCAACGCTATGGTTCAAATAGGGTATTTGCCACCGCCAATCAATTGGCGTACTTTTTAAAACTTTCAAAACGAGACTGCCATAAATGTACGGCAATACCAGCCAGTGACGTCACTATTTTGTCAACTCAATTTTCAATTACAGTGCAAACAAAAATCTTATTACAGGTAATAATTAATTAAATTTTTAAGACCAGAATGACGTGCCTTTTTAAAAGAGTTGTGCTTTAGAATTATTGAGGAGTGATGGCAAATACCAAATTGCAATGTTTATGGTTTTAGCGAGCCGGCATGCTTAGGAATACCAAAGCGGCAGCCTACGTTGCAATTCAACCGTAGCGTTAAAAGTATAAGGTACATTGTTATTCGTCACCTAAAAATCTCTAGCCACTGTCCTGATAATGTGCGCAGCCTCTAGTTTGTTATTATGAAGTGGCCATGGCGGCTCGCAGCCCTGAATTTGAACGCGGGTAAACCGAGAAATGATACCGCGGTTAAATATTATTTAATACATAGCCCGAAATTCAAGTTCAAATCGTATTACTGACTCGAGTTTCTAGATGAGTTTATATTAGATCCCCGTCAACAGCTAAACAAGCAATTTTTATTAAATAAAAAATACCCGAAATTAGTAGTTAGGGTAGCCTGGTAGTTTAATGTGAGCGAAGTAAGCATTCATTGTTAGCAAAACCATAATCAGATAACCCAAAAATATTGTTTAAAGTTCCATGTTCAGTAACAAATTAATCAGTTACCTATAAATAAAACCTAAATTCATTGAGTTCAAAGTTTCTGTCTCTGTTTATTTTCCTCCTCTATGAATGAAAGGAAACTGTCAGAATAAGCAAAAGTTGTTTTAATCTTATAAATTAATTATTGGAGAATGAAGATTTAGTTTTGTGCAAGAAGAAACATTATAGAGTGTGAATGAAAATATTATTTCTGGCGATTATTGAGAGTATTAACTAAATGGTCGGAAAGTTCTATAATTATAAATCGTTAAAAAGTCTCAAGTCAATCTCTAACAAAATCTGTTTCAGACCTTCTTAGGGGGCGTCCATTAATTACGTGAGACAATTTTAGCTATTTTTCAACCCCCTCTCCCCCTTTGATGAGATTTCGTGAGATTTGGCTCAACCCCCTCCCCCTAATCTCACGTGAGTTTTTTCAAAATGGGTGATTGCAATGTAAATGAGTTAATATTATATGCTTCGATTAGTTACTAAATTAGATTTATTACATAAAAAACCTTTCTTAACGTAGCAATCTTTCGTACCTAACGTATCATACCGAGATCGCAATAGAATGGATTCTTTTTCGGTTTCGTTGTAGAATGTAAAAATTGTAAAATTTCTATTTTAATTTTACACTGTTTCCTGCTGAAAAAATATTACGTGATATTTGTCGAGACCCCCCCCTCTCAGTTTTTCATAAATTAATACCGCAGTGGATAATGAGCACATATTTTAATTACTTTGTGTGTGTGACTTTCTAATGCGACACTGAGTTTCGAACTCAGCGCATTAGTTGGCATCTCTCTATATCTCTATGGCAGTTGTTCCCAAAAGTTGACTGGGCTACAACTCACCTAATACAAGTTCCCAAACTCGGGACCCACCTATAGGAAATTTAGCCATTACCAATATACCTAAAATATACCCATAGTTTGAGAAACCCTGCTCTATGGTGTGACCATAGAGGTCACTTAAACATTAGAGATTGAGGGAGAGGTCCGACCGTCGACGAATAACGAGAAACGAGTAGAACTAGAAACTAAAGCCTTGATCACACGTACCGAGTAAACGGGCGAGACAGTAAAATGTTTACTCGGCCAAGACAGTGATGTAAGCGAGTAGCTGTTCACACGTGTTTTGAAATTAGCACAGTCAGTTCAATTGCGACTTTTCTTTTTCTCTAATCCGTGGACGTGACGTCAATCATTTGGCCGAGTGGCGAGTGGCGAGACAGTGCACGTTCAGACCTGCCGAGCGAGCGAGCGAGACAGTGCGGGGCAGCGGGAGCGTGGATACTCGGCCTAGTAAGTTGAACGGGAGTCGAGCTACTGTCTCGCCGCTTTGCTCGGCCGATCACTCGGCGCTATGTTTACGCACCGAGTACTCGGCCGAGAGCACTGTCTCGCCCGTTTACTCGGTGATCAAGGCATTAGTCGTTTACTCGCCGGCGGTGGGACCACTAAAGCCTGGTCCGTGAGCACGCAGAATTTTGTCCAATGACCCCAAGCTACCCATTCTTATCGCTCGCGCGTAATTATATTGCTGTCGCGACTGTGCGACGGCCGCCCGCAGTGAGTGTGCGAGCGCGACAGCAACATAATTACGCGCGAGCGACAAGGATGGGTAGCTTGGGGTCATTGGACAAAATTCTACGTGCTCGGCAACCAGACGATACCTGATGTTAAAAACGGGCATAAGTGTGTCATCGTAAGTACCTCGTGCGGCGTTTGCGGCGGCGGCGGCACCGGCTCAGGCTGGGTTGGCGGCGGCTCAGGCTGGGCGTCTGGCGCGTCGGGCGCGTGGCGGCGGCGCGGCTTGCGAGCGTAGCGGCTTCGCTCGCGCTGTTCGGCGCGCACGTGACGCGCTGCGACTGCCGCCTCGGATACGTCCTCGTCCTAAAAGATTGGGTTTGGTGTCAGGTTCCCAGCAGCTACTGACGAGACTGATAGAAGATGCTGGATGTGATACGGAGAGCCGAGCAAGATGTTTAATTGCAAATAAATGATTATGATTCCTTTATTCGATTTTCTTTCTTATTTTTAATTTTTTCTTTTTACAATGTAGTAATTATCAAAAAA